GCAATGTCTAAATACACTCCAACCAAAAAAATAACAGTATCAAATCTCGTCTTTCATTCAATTCACTGTCAATTCTTTTACCAAAAAATGAGATTTTATCTTTAAATATAAATGTGAAGAACAGTATCTAGTTATTCAGATGGGACCACAAATATAAAAGAAGCCTCGGCAGATGAAAATTGTCCCTCATAGCACACTGCATGATGTATATTGGTTTTCATCAGCACGGTCAGTGCAGAAAGAGCAAGGCGTTAAACTCCCATTTCATTTGCAGTTCTTTCTATAAGGGTGAAATGTTATATAAACTATTAATTAGACATTTATCAACAAAACAAGACCATAATTAACTCTCGATGGCATCAGATACTCAAGATTTTACCTAGATTAGAACGGATTCCCATTTAAAAATTTAATTTAAAAATAGGAAAGCGAGGCTAAGCCTCGAATATACCAGTGCCCTGGTTACCAAAATGGACACATCTTGTCAAAACAACAAACAGTTTCAGAATCAAGTAATTTGAATGAAATTTTCAATATATTCATTTTACATTATCTATTTTTGAGCTATTATAGCAAGAATGGTCAGCTCTTTATCTAAATCTTACATAACGTAGTTTTAAGTCTCTGCTTATTTGTTCCTGCTTTGTTTTATGTTGGAGTCTAGGATTTCTTACTGTCTAATCAAAACTAAACCAATTCATCTCAAAATATTTCAATATCTGTCCGAGAACATTATGATTTGTTTTTACAATCATACAATTTTTATATCTGGCTAGCTGACTGATTGGTTGTGAACCTCAGACTTTTATGATTAGTTGTAATTTAGTCTTAAAATGTCTGGACATTAGCTGAAATATTTTAAATCCCTTGAAAGGTCCTGATTACCAATTTGCGTATAGGAATACCACAAACCTTAAAATCTCTGGGGTTTTTTATTGAAAGATTTTGGATTCCCTGAAAGGTACTGTTTACCAATTTGCATATGAGAATTCCCTACTTGCTGATCTGCCACAAACCTTAAAATCTATGTTTATCACACTAGGGACCAGGTATCATTCAGATTTGATGAAAAAAAGGAAAGAAACTGAGCTTACCATCTATAATCTAATACACATATTCAGTTAATAGATTGCCATGCAGAAAGTATTAAATTAATCAAATACCATCAAGATTCATCAAATAACGCCCAGTGGGGTTTAATGTCCACTCAACACAAACTAAGTTATCTCGGGACTAACATATGATTCAAATTTATTTCAATTATTTGAATGCATGTAGGGGTCTTTAGCAGTGGGAGGAAAAAGGAGGACCCAGAGAAAACCCTCAAGGTTAGACAGGCGACCCTACTCCTTCTCATGTACAACCGGGGAATTGAAACCACGCCAGTTGACTTAATGACAGACCTTATGATAAAATGCGCATGTGCTAACCATTCAGCCATTCACAAGTTGAATCACTGTATAAATATACTGTTTGATCAGAAACTTGGTTACAATGTCTAAATACACTCCAACCCAAAAAATAACAGTATCAAATCTCGTCTTTAATTCAATTCACTGTCAATTCTTTTACCAAAAAATGAGATTTTATCTTTAAATATAAATAAAGTCACATTTCATTCAAAGTACAAGAAAACAAACCCCATGTATAACAAAACAGACAAATAAGCGATTATCTGGTTCCTCGCTGCTAAATCCATCATAACTTGTCGATTATTATAATAATAACATATTACATAATATACATACTTCTTTGCCAAAAGCTCAATTACTAATTAATATCAATTGAATTATAGCAGAGAAAACATTCTATCTCAAGTGTTCAGGATTGGAAAACAAATTCAGTGCCAAATCTGAAAGAGTGCAGTAGACAGACATATAATAATAAAAGACCATAAACCCCAGAAGAGAGAGAGAGAGAAAGAGAAAAAGAGGAATAGAGAGAGAGAGAGAGAGTGGGTACTCGACTGAGCGTTCTGGAATTGAATTCTCTCAATCCCAAAAATAGTGACAATCGAGTGAAAAGGTGGATTTCGGGCTGAATAAGCAAATATCTCAACCAACCATGCAGCTGAAACCTTTTAATTACGTCACGATTCTACTCACACCACCTCCATTGTCCACATTACTCGATTGCAATTCTGTCTATGCGGGAAATTCTGGACTGTAAATCAAGCATCCCCAGAGAGAGAGAGAGAGAGAGAAAGAGAGAGAGAGAGAGAGAGAGAGAGAGAGAGTTACTGTTCTTGTATAAAAGATGTATTATGTAAGATTTAGAAAATAAAGAGCTAGCTGGCCCACTCTTGTTATGTTTCAAAATAGATAATGAAAAAAGAATATATCAAAATTCAGTCAAATTACTTTATTTAAAGAGAAGTTAGGAATGTTTTAAGTTTTGATAAGATATAGCTTAAATTATAGTCTCAATAAGCAACATGGCCACGATAATGAACAAAGTCTTCATTTTCAGCTCTTCAACTGGCATTCTGCTGGTACACTCAGAATCAGCTGGCATTCTGAGTACAGTCAGAAACAGAAGGTGTTCTGAGTACAGACTATTGCTAACGACATTGTTATATCTAACAAGATACATATGATTCACAGGTAGGTATTAGTTGCCTCCCCTTATATATTGAATTTTTTTTTTTATGTTGGCTGCTGTTTGGGACTGAACCAAGTCTGGAAATCGGGCACCTGTCATGGACAATGTCAGGCATCAAATCAGGATCTATCAGACACAATTTAAATTAGAACAGAACAAAACAGAAGAATCTTTTTTTTTTATTTGACTTGGATTACTGTTGAACTGTCGTATAAAAACAGGAGTTTGCAGAGGTTTTGTGATGCTCTGGGTAAGCTCCTTGATTAGATGCTATGATGCCCCCTAGAGGCCTAGACTCAAGTATAAGGCATAGTATTGTTGTGTTAAACATATCTGACACCTTTGTACCTCTAGGAACTCTTCAGGAACATTTACCCTCTAGGGACCTTAGATCAAAAAATAATTTTCAGCTAAAATTACAAACTTTTAATTTAAACACTTTTGGTGCAAAATCATTTCCATATCTGGCAGTTTTAAATTGGAATAACCTTCCTGCTTATTGAAACAGTGTCAATCCCGATGAGCTTTCAAATCAACATTGATGACTTATCTATTCCCACGCTATGTTTTGTTTTGTGTTGTGAATGTTAACTGGAGTGTAGAAAACTAAAGTCTTTGCATGCACTATGAGCAAAGAGTCAGTGTGGAATAGCGTTAAACAAATATTCATATTATTCTTATTATTCATATTTTATTACTTAGAAATATAAGAAAAGAAGCTATTTTAAATACGTCATCACAGTTGAAAAAAAAAGTTAACAGCAATTTTAAAATTCAAAAATTGGAATTTAATTCCATTCTTGGATTGGATGCCCCCATAAAATGGATGTCCAGGACCGCACCTAGCCTCTGCCTCGCTCTCTGCATGCAAAAGCACTGAGAGAATTTTTATGTTTCAGCCGGTGTAAGACACTTTTTGCCTCCCTCTCCCGTCCTTCCAACACCATTGCAAGGATAATGCTAAAATTGGTATTCTGTCCTCTGAATTACCATCTTGCCTATAGATGTATGTATTGTAGGCCCAGTGCTCCCACTGTGAGGAGTCCTATAGGCAAAAAACACAAACTTATGACAATGTCATGTAAGCGGACTGCAGGAACTACTTGTGTCCTTCTACACAGTGTAAACTGGGTATCATTATATTTTGTGTATCTACCACTAATTTCTTTCACATTCATTCAATATCAAATCTTTGTTTAAAAATCATTTAAAATCACCCAAAATCATCTAATTTGTACTTGTGTCCAGTTTAAAGCTGACCATTCAATTTTGATAATGAGTGTCCAATTTTACAAGTATTTAATTTCCTGACCACTGTTCAAAATTTAATCATTATACATCATTAATAAATTGGGTTGTCTATTTTTTAACAATGATCGAGAAATTAAATGCTTGTAAATTGGACACTCATTATCAAAATTGAATGGTCAGCTTTAAACTGGACAAAACTACAAATTAAACGATTTATGGTGATTTTAAATGGTTTTTTTTTTAATTTTTAAACAAGGATTTGATATTAAATGAATGTGAAAGAAATTAGTGATACCCGGATTACAGTGACATATACGTACTGTCCTCCAGTGTTTCAGACCAAGTGTGGCTATGCAGTTTGGACACTTTCCTCTTGTGGCAAGGGCAGGTAACTCAATGAATAGGGTTTCTAACTTTATCTCTGCATAGCCAGAGTAGGACATCAGGGATCAGATTGGGTTGCATACTTTTTGGATTTATTCAGATTTGTTATAAAGTTACTTCTTGTGACCGAGGTAAAATATTTATGTTCGGTAATTAAATAAAATTGATTTATGCGACCCCTTTTAAGTTATACCAGATTATCTGAGAGAGAGAGAGAGAGAGAGAGAGAGAGAAGCATGGGAACTGAGACAGTTTGATGCACATAATGATGCAGTAGGTTTTGACAGTATTGGGTGGTCCGGGTTGATTTGACTAAACAGTTATATCAGGAGAGAGAGAGAGAGAAATGGGGTTTCACGTCCACTCGACACAAACTAGGTTATTTCGGGACTAACACATGGTTCAATTATATTTCACTAATTCTCTTGCGCGTAGGGGTCTTTAGTAGTGGGAGGATACCGGAGGACCCAGAAAAACCCCACAAGGTTGGACAGACGACCCTACTCTTTGTCACATATAACCAGGGAAATGAAACCATGCCAGCTGACTCAATGACAGACCTTATGATACAGCGTGCACGCGCTAACCATGCGGCCATCCAATCCCCGATTATCTGATACCCAGAATATTTTTTTTATATGACCCATAAACAGATTGCTATAAAAATAATCTAGGTATATAATTACCCCTGGCAGACATTAATTAATTCAATGTGAACGGACGAACGAAGCCGAGCGAGGACATGACGTATAATAAATAATTACCTCTGACAGACGTTAATTAATGTATTGGTTATATCCTGATTTTGTTTCATATACGATGCGAGTTCGATACCTTCTCTCTGTAATACCACACGTCTCTCCTTTAAGGTGTTCTCTGTATAACGATCATATATTATCTGATTCTGCATAGGTTCCTGTAATAATACAAACATATAGTCCTGTAACCATAGAAACACAAGGTTCCTGTAACCATAGAAACACAAGGTTCCTGTAACCATAGAAACACAGGTTCCTGTAACCATAGAAACACAGGTTCCTGTAACCATAGAAACACAGGTTCCTGTAATACAAATATAGGGTATTGTAATAACTAGCACGATACTTGGCTTGGCCTTGGACCCAAGATCTGCTTACTCGGCATCTTCCTTGGTTGCAAGCTTACATCAACGGTTACTATTATTAAACTTAATTACCATAATAAACACTGTTAACCGTTAATTGCAGTAAAACAGTTCGGCTTCAGGCACAAATATTTGGCTTTGTTAAACTAAAAAATGATCTTGACCTTCATAAATCATGGCCTAAAACATTTCCAGGGTCATGCTGGTTCATTTGATGCCAGATATGTGGGGGTTGAATCGCGGCAACAAAGCATGATGGGTGAACATACAGACACTCATCCTCGATTTTATTTACATAGATAATACACAGGTTGCTGTTATAGTACAAATATAGGTTGTTCACTGATGAACATATTACACTATGATGCAGGTATCATTTCATCTTGCGTATTTAGCATTAATTTCTTTAACAGTCATTCAACATCAATTCTTTGTTCATAGCCTAATGATATCCACTAAACAGTGAGACACAACTCTTGTTTCAGTACTTAACAGTGAGACACAACTCTTGTTACAGTACTAAACAATGAGACATGACTCTTGTTACAGTACTAAACAGTGAGACACGACTCTTGTTACAGTACTAAACAGTGAGACACGACTCTTGTTACAGTACTAAACAGTGAGACACGACTCTTGTTACAGTACTAAACAGTGAGACACGACTCTTGTTACAGTACTAAACAGTGAGACATGACTCTTGTTACAGTAATAAACAGTGAGACACAACTCTTGTTACAGTACTAAACAGTGAGACATGACTCTTGTTACAGTAATAAACAGTGAGACACAACTCTTGTTACAGTAATAAACAGTGAGACATGACTCTTGTTACAGTACTAAACAGTGAGACATGACTCTTGTTACAGTAATAAACAGTGAGACACAACTCTTGTTACAGTACTATACAATGAGACATGACTCTTGTTACAGTAATAAACAGTAAGACATGACTCTTGTTTCAAAATTTGCGAGGTCTGACATAATATTGGGGGTGTAATTAACTGTCTGCTGGAATAATCTTTATCAGCAATTTTCATTCCTTAAAATCAAATCCTATATAAATAATGGCTGATTTACCAACGATAAAATAATAATAAAAACATGCAGATTGGACTAATTAGGCATTAACGATTGTCATTCAAATTAGAATGTTCGCATATTTCCTCGAACATAACTGATTAGAAAGTACAATAATTTTTTTAAATTTGAATGTAAATCACTTTATATACATTCATATAACATTAATATGTACTTTTGGACCCATTTTTGGCTGTCTCAAGGTTAAAAAAAAAAAAGCCATACGCCCTTTAAGTGCAAACTATGAATTTAGAAAAAAATCTCATTTCAGTCTTTAAGAGTCGATTTGTTTGCAAGAGTATGGGTTTCTGCGAATGACCAATTAGTTTATCCATTAGAAAATGTTATCATTAGAAAACCTATTTGCTGTCACGAGAAACAGGCATCACAAGTTCCACTAATTTGAAAGAATGAGTTGGAAATTTGATCCATTTGCTGACAGGTGTGAGAGAGTTTGAAATATTTGATGATGATATATATATATATGACAACAGAAAATGATGAAAAATTCAGCCAAATTGCTTTACTCTGTGCCAAGATATTAACGATTAAATTTTCTGCTAGCCTCAATCATCATTATCCATTTTTACATTAAATTATCCATCACAAAATGTATTCAAATCCATCAAAAATAGCAGGCTAACGATAGCATTGAGAGTTAATTATGGTCTGGATAAGTTAATTAATGTCTAATTATAAATAATTTAGAAAACACTTCAGGCCTAAAGAAAGACTTCCAATAGACATATTTAGCTCTCACAGAATGCATGTTTAAATAAGATAACGAAATAAAAATATAAACACTAGATAATGTTCTGGCTTGGATTCAATCGACCCACCAGGTTTCTCCACTAACAATAAAAGATGGCGTCGTCTTTTCTTCCCAAGCTGCATATAGATCTTTAAATGGAATTGAACCACTCTTAGTCTTATCTTCCATTAAAAAATTTTGGGGGGGGGGGGAGTTTAAGTTGTTGGTGGGATGGCCGAATGGTTAGCACGTGCGTGTTGTATCGTAAGGTCTGTCATTGAGTCAACTGGCGTAGTTTCGATTCCCCGGTTGTACGTGACAAGGAATTTGGTCGCCTGTCCAACCTCAAGGGTTTTCTCCGGGTCTTCCGGTTTCCTCCCACTACTAAAGACCCCTACACGCAAGCAAATTATTGAAATAAAAATTGAACCATATGTTAGTCCCGAAAAGACCTAGTTTGTGTCAAGTGGATGTTAAGTAATGTTAAGTGCATGTTTAGTAATTCAACTTTCACAATATTTTTAGTTTGCAAGGGATTTCACTCGGCACATTTTGGGACTAACAGATGGTACAATTTCATTTCAATAGTTTGCTTACATGTATGGGTCTTTAGTGGGAGGGGGGGGTGGATGGCTGAATGGTTAGCGTGCGCGCGCTGTATCATAAAGTCTGTCATTGAGTCGACTGGCGTGGTTTCGAATCCCCGGTTGTACATGACAAGGAGTAGGGTCGCCTGTCCAACCTTGTGGGTTTTCTCCAGGTCCTCCGGTTTCCTGTCACTACTAAATTATTGAAATAAAAATTGAACCATATGTTAGTCCCAAAATGACCTAGTTTGTGTCAAGCGGATGTTAAGTAATGTTAAGTGGATGTTTAGTAATTCAACTTTCACAATATTGTAGTTTGCAAGGGATTTCACTCGACACATTTTGGGACTAACAGATGGTACAATTTCATTTCAATAGTTTGCTTGCATGTATGTATGTGGATCTTTAGTGGGAGAAAACTGGAAGACCCAGAGAAAACCCACGAGGTTAGGCAAGCAACCAAACTCTGTCACATACAAGTGTGGATCACCCAAACCTCCCTCGGTAATAAGAACAAAAGTAATTTGCCTACCTCTGGGTTAGTTAGTGACGTAACAGTCATATCTGCGGGTTGATAATTATGGAAAGACAACTGGTATGGTGGAGCCTCAGGGGAGACAACTTTAACAAAGAATGAAATATCTAACTGAGGATTCACTTGCCGACATATCTGTAATAAATCTTCAAATCTTCGATGTTGTTCATTAGCCTGGTGATACAAAAAGAGAATTTACCTAACATACAAATAGTCTGTTTAATGGGAGACAACTCTAGATAAATTGATGTACTGAAACATGCAATGAAATGGGATTTCATGTCCTACTGTTTCTGCAAAAACAAATGAAATGGGGTTTAACGTCCAACTGTTCTGCTCCTATACTGGACTAATGAAGACGGGCATATGCCATACAGTGTGCTATGAGGATCTTTTACGTGCGCGCCAATGTGTACACGGGACCACGATTTTTTCGTCCCATCCAAACGACTAGACAGCTGTTCTTGTCAGGCCCTCTTTCCTGCATCACTGACATGGGGGAACTACGCCAAAAAATCTGATCGAACACGAGACCTTCAGGCTAGCGAGCCAGCGTCTTACCCACTTAGCCACCGTGATTCCCCCCTTAAAACACACTTCCTATATATCGTTTCGTTTTTCATAGTCCAAAATTTCTGGAAGAATCTGTTAGAGTTGTTATATAACCTGAGTTCTGGTTGATGTGAGCGATAAGCCAATGAAACAGCCGGTTACGGCAACTAGAAACATCAACGCTGATTGGTGAATCAAATCTCTGACAGCATAGGGTCAAAAGCCAGTCGTATGACTCCTGAAGACCTTCCATTAAAACCAGTCTTCATGTAGTAGAGGCCATCGAAAGTACAAACAAGCCAACAGTGAGGCTGGTGTCCCCAGTCGAAACCCCAAAATAAATAGATGACACATATTAATTAATTATCTTTTTTCAAAAGTATCAAGCAATCAAACTGATTATCAACTATACACTAAGTTTCATCACTTTCTATCAGATAGAATCAAAGTTATCTTGTCCCAAAGCATCGACCAATGAAATTGCTTATCTCTGCTTACCCTAAGTAGAAAATGCTCATCTTCGAACTCCATCAAAGCACTGACCTAATAAACACCTACATCAAGTTTAAACATTCTAGCTCAATTAGACAGAGAGTTATTGTGTTCCAAAGTCTCAACAAATCAAATTGCCTACTGCTCTGCTTACCCTGAACAGAAAATGCTCATTATCGAACTTAGTCAAGGTATTGATGTAATGAAACTATACACCAAGTTCCATCACTCTCACTTAATTAGAACTAAAGTTATCGTGTCCCAAAGCATCAACCACAATCAAATTGCTTATCTCTGCTTACCCTATGCAGAAAATGCTCATCTTTGAACTCCATCAAGGCATTGACCTAATAAACACCTACACCAAGTTTGAACATTCTATCTCAATTAGAAGGAGAGTTATTGTGTCTCAAAAAATGTGATGGACAGGCAGACGGACTGACGGATCCACGGACGAACCTTTAATATAGATCTATCTTTTAATCAGATTGAACTTAACCTGGCATTGAAGCCCCCTGATACTTACCTTTGTGAGAAGTAGTAAAGCTAGACTTTCAATAGCTACATTAATGGTATTACTGGTATCTATATAAATCTCTTCTAGTTCCTAAAACAACAACAAAAATATAGGTTACCACCAGCTTTATCTTCTGAGAGAGAGAGAGAGAGAGAGAGTTTAATGTCCATTGAACAAAACAGGTCATTTTGGGACAAACGCCTGGTACAAATTCATTTCAACACCTGACTGGCCCCTAGGGGTCTTTAGCAGTGGAAGGAAACTGGAGGACCTTGAGATATCCCAAGAGGTTTACCCTGATCACTTGGACTATCCTAAACTGCTAGCTGTTCCCTTGAGTCAGCTAAAATCATGGAGATTAGCTGTGAATTATTTAAGGACTTTAGGGAGCAATAGCGTCAGGCCGTTTCATAAATGAGTCCTAAAATATCTCAAGGAAATGACGAGGAAGTGAATACATGAACATGTACCAGGTGTTAAAAGGTTAATATAAATTTCAGGAATTAATCATTACCGTCATAAAATCAATATTTGAATTCCCTAGAACCTTGTTCATTCCATCCGGTCATCATTAGCCCACTCAGAGCAGAACAGTAGGACATTAAACCCCATTTTCATTTCATTTCTTCATTCAATGATTGATTTTAAAATATTGCCTAATTGGAATAAATGAAATGGGGTTTATCGTCCAACTTGTCTGCTCCAACTGGGTTAATGAAGATGGACATGCATACAGTGTGCTATGACAGCAACCGAATTCCAATTGTCAAGGGACCTCGTCTATTTTTTGTCTTATCTAATCAACTTGACCCTGTTCCCTGTCAGGCCCTTAATACTGCACCCATGAGGAAACAAGCCAGGTAAATCCAGAGAAACATTGTCGACCAACAACGAGAGAGAACCGGGTCCTCTCGGCACCAATGGGAGTCACCATGACTACATTGCCTAATCAGTGTCTTGACGGACGTGATCCTCTGTAAATTTAACATCCTATCTAGACAGTTACAATCAATTAATCAGAGAAATGGGGTTTAACATCCACGCGACACAGACTAGGTCATTTTGGGACTGACATATGGTTTAATTTTATTTCAATAATTTGCTTGCGTGCAGGGGACTTTAGCAGTGGGAGGAAACCTAGGACCCGGAGAAAACCCACGAGGTTGAACAGGCAACCCTACTCCTTGTCACGTACATACAACCTGGGAATCGAAACCACACCAGTTGACTCAATGACAGGCCTTATGATGCAGCGCACACATGCTAACCATTCAACCATCCAACCCCTCCCTGACATGAAAACATCTGTTTGAAATTTAAATTTGACATGATAAGATATCAGATTGAAATTGATTATTAGGCACTAGTGTATTATGAGCCATGGATACGTTTCGTGGATTTGGTGCTTTAGAAATGAAATGAAATGGGATGAAATGGAATGAAATGGGATGAAATGGGATGAAATGGAATGAAATGGAATGAAATGGAATGAAATGGGGTTTAATGTCCTAATGAAGACGGACATATGCCATACAGTGTGCTATGAGCGAAATTTTGCCCGAACAGCGACACTACGGCCTACTCTTATATCGAAATCCAACTGTCAATGTGTACACAGGACCTCGGTTTTTCGTCCCATCCAAGCGACTAGACAGCTGTCCTTGTCAGGCCCTCCGTCCTGCATCACTGACAAGGGGTAACCATGCCGGAAAATCTGGATGAAATTTCTTGGCCAATGCAGGGATCGAAAACCAAACCTCCAGGCTAGCGAGCCAGCGTCTTACCCACTTAGCCACCGTGATCCCCATGGTGCTTTATAAATGAACATACAAGTATTTCTTCTAGTAGTAAAAACAGAGGGTCTTTAACTTTACCTCTAAAACTTGTGGCACCGCTTCCTGGAATTCTTGTACTAATCTATTAGATGAGCGTAGTTGTAGAACATAATCGTTATGAGCATTAAATAAACAACTTCTAGCCTCCTCTTTTGATGGGTTTGTGTCACTGGAATATGTTTGATAAGCTTCTCTATAAGCAACTTGAGCCTGTAATATAAACAATTACAATAATAAATATAAACAATTATAATATAAACAAGTACAATAATAAACAATTACAATATAAACAGGAACAGTACTAAACAATTACAAATAATTAACAATTACAATATAAATAAATACAATAATAAACAATTACAATAGTAAACAATTGCAATATAAACAAGTACAATTGTAAACAATTACAAATAATAAACAATTACACTAGTAAACAATCAAAATAGTAAACAATTACAATATAAATAATTACAATAATAAACAATTTCAATACAAATAAGTACAATAATAAAAAAAAAACGAGGTAAAGGAAAGGAGGTAATCCATCTTGTGACATCTAAGGCCATTCAAATTCTACTATTCTTCAAATTCTATGAAATTATTTATCTGCATTAATAACTTTTGACCCCACGCCCCCCCACCCTCCTCCGACCAGGCATCAACACTGATAGTTTGATATTGATTAGATTCTAACATTCTATGGCCCTCGAGGAAGGACAGAGGAATAAAAGACATATTCAAACGAACAGACATTACACTCAAAAACTAGTAATTAACTCGATGCTTGAAATATCCTGGAGGTTCCTCTTACACTAAATACAGCTTTAACCAGATACTGGAATAAATCTTCGCTCAACTGAAGTCTTTGTATGTCATTTGCATTTTTCATGTTTTCATTAGCCCGGTAGGATATGTAAAGTGGGACATAAACATGGTGTCATTCGCTTTTTTCGGAAAATATAAATTTTTTTACATCTTTAAAGCCACGATAAAATGTACCCAAGAAAACAAAATCAAAATAGCAACTGCACGACACACAAACAAGTCAGAGGACAAACTCGAGGACATGTCACATCACACGAGGACATTGTTAGATATAAACAATTAAACATATACATTATGCAAGTGCTAAATCTGCCCAATGCAGGTCTTTCTTTAGGCCTGAAATTTTATCTTAATTATTAATTAGACATTAATTAACTTATCCAGACCATAATCAACTCTCGATGTCATCGCTAGCCTGTGATATTTACTGGATTTGAATCCAATCTACTGCATAATGCTCATTGATGATTAAATCCAAAAATGGATAATCAAGACTTTTTATTGTACCTACTTTAGTAATGATGATCGAGGCTAGGCCTAAAATTCAATCGCTAATATCTCGATTCAGAGTGGAGCAATTTGACTGAAATTTTCAGCATATTCTATTAACGTTATCTATGTTTTAACTATTATTGTGAGAACTGCTCTTTATCTAATCCCCCATAAACACATGGTTCAAATTTGTTTCAAAAAATTGCTTGTGCGTAGGGGTCTTCAGCAGTTGGAGGAAATGGGAGGCCCCGGAAAAAACCAACGAGTCTGGACAGGCGACCCTACTCCTTGTCACGTACAACCAAAACTTACAAGGAAGACAATCAACAAAACACCAAAAGGGAACATTTCCCAAACATTGCATGCATCCAGTGTAGTTTAATAGGAACTTACTAAATTCATTTTGTTTTCAGATTTCTGTAAAATTGTCTCAAAATTTTCGCGAAATGAACAAAGACGCTGAGCTTGGCTTCGTTTATGTTCCGCTACTTCTTCTAGAGGTGTGTACACATTCTTTATAAGTAAACTGGCCGCATCCAGATGAGCCTGAAAAATATGGACATTTACTATACAGTTAGATACAAATAGAGAGATCATGGGGTTTAACATCAACTCAACAAATACTAGATCATTCCAGAACTAACATATGTGGTTCAATTTAATTTCAATAAATCGCTTGTGCATAGGGGTCTTTAGTAGTGGGAGGAAATTGGAAAAATTCTACGAGGTTGGACAGGTGACCCCACTCCTTGTCATGTATAAGCTGGGCAAAGAAATTACAGTACGCCTTATTCCACCAAACCACAAATAAATGAAATGAAAATGAAATGAAATGAAATGGGGTTTAACGTCCTACTGTTTTGCTCCGAACTGGGCTAATGAAGACGGGCATACGCCATACAGTGTGCTATGAGGGTAATTTTGCCCAGACAGCGGCACTACGGCCTACTCTTATATCGAATTCCAACTGCCAAGGGATCTTTAACGTGCACGCCAATGTGTACACAGGACCTCGGTTTTTCGTCTCATCCGAATGACTAGACAGCTGTCCTTGTCAGGCCCTCCGTCCTGCATCACTGACAAGGGGGAACCACGCCGGAAAATCTGGATGAACTTTCTCGGCCAATGCAGGGATCCAAATAAATGAAAGTACCTTAACAATATCAAAAACACCTCATAGTGTGCAGGCTCCATTGTTTTGGAATAAATTACCCTACAATCTATACAAAGCTATACAGAAACTCCTGCTTCAACAGCACAACTGAACAACACCCAATAAGTTGTAGTGTTTATACTGTCTGATATAGAGACAAGTTACCTGTACGGGATGATATGAGGATAGCTTACCTGTACATGATAACATGAGGATACGTAACCAATATATCCTGGATGATATAGCCATAGTTTACCTGTATGGGATGACATGAGGATAGCTTACCTGTGCATCCATCTCTGATTCATGTAATAAACTTTCCCAAGCTGTAAATATTGTACTTTCTGTATCAACAGGTCTGAAATAAATAATTCATTTATTAGGGATGGACAATATATGGCAATATTTAAATTTTATTGAAATTCTGACCATTAAAGATATCTCAATAATCCAATATATCGTTTGACCCTGCTGACCTTTCTCCAATAATATTCCTTGACAGATTACAATATAAGCTGGACCACGATTCAGATTTATGTGCTTTTCATTGAAATCTATTTGAGGGGAATTCCCTCCCTGTTAAGAGTCTCCTCGCTTGAAGCACTTTAATATTGCAATAATGGCAATATATATTATGAATTTTATATCATTATCGCGGAAATTAAAATTTGAAATACCATCCAGCCCAATTATTTAATGAATAAACAATCTGATTAAAACACAGATCCTATTTCGTTTCTTTTTTTTATAGTTCAAAATTTCGTTTTACTTGTCTTCACTACACTAGGATCTGGAAGAGTTGTTATATAACCTGCGGTCTGGTTGATGTGACGGATTAGCCGATGAAACGGTCTGTTACGGCGAGTTCTTGGCATGCGGTGACCAGAACTGTGGGTATCCCACTAGAAACATCAACGCTGATTGGTTAATCAAATGTCTGACATCATAGGGTCAAAAGTCGCTCGCTGTATTCCACTACAGCTGGTCAGATCTCCACATAGTGGAGGCCATCGAAAGTATAAAAAAACGAAAAGAAATATAGATCTCTGTTTTAATCAGGTTGATAAATGAACAGGGCCGTAACTAGGTCAAAGCAACAAGGGGGGGGAGCGGGAAGTGTTCTCAGGGGTGCTGTAAAATTGACGGACAATGTCTATTGTTTTTATGGTCACCAATTTTTTCACATTCACAGGGGGGAGAAACTTTTTGCAGGAAGCCCCCTGCGCCCCCCCCGCTAGTTACGGACCTGTAAATGAAATACAGCGAAATCCTGCTGAGGATGATGTGTCACTTATGACTGTATCTTAAATGAATTATTAAAAACTATAAAGTTTGTGACTTTTAAATCAATAATCAGACCAATTTATATCCTATAACTGGTCTGTATCGAGGGATTTTACCTTAAATACAGTTTTCAACTGTCTATCTTTATCCAAACCATCGACATGTGGGATTGCTTTTTATACTTTCTATGACATGAAGACAGTAATTAGAATGCTGAATACTCAAAGATCGTCTCAATTTTCACTCACAGTAAAGAATATATTTAATGACGTCTTAAAAAACTATTCCTGGTTTAGTTTGTTCGGAAAGGGAAATTGATTACCGACTAGTGTGCACCATAGAGCGATTTATCTTTCTTGGATGAAATCTGATTATCATTGACAAACTGGAGCTATTTACGTTTTGTTCCCTAATCTAACATAAAATTAATCACCTTTCTTTTTTCAATTCATAATTACGTCTTCGAAATGATGCGATCACGGACTGGATTTCTTTTGAGAAGTGTTCGTGAGCTGCGGCCATTTGCTGAGCGAATTCTGCCACTGAAAACAAACATAAAAAATATGGATTCAATTACTCAGATTCTGTTCAAAGAGAGGTTTATCATTAAATAGTGTCTGTTTTATGATGATTTGGAGTTTAAAGCTGAAAAATTGACAAAACAAAATTTAATGCTGAAACAATTTGGATGAAGAAATCAAACAGAAACTCAAATTATTAAAGATTTTTGCCAACCAATTTAAAATCCTCTGTCAACCATAAATCTAGATTCACAAAAATCTGAACAGTTTTTAAAAGATTATGTGTAAATCACAAGCAGTTATTGTAAAATCTTGCTTCAACCATTAATCTTGATAGTATTTTTAAACAACGTACATAATCTATAAATTAAAGAAAAACAGATGGCATTTAAGTGCAGTTAAAGGCTCAATACCACTCTTGTTGTAACAGAATAATATGTCCCAATCTTTATTCTGGTCAACAAATTTTCTATTTTACAGTATTCCAATTAATTGATGATACAAATTTCATCTTAACACACCTAATTTAAAAAATTGGAAAAATTCAACTAAATGGTTTGAAAAGCCTAACGTAAACCTTTTCAAATGTGACTTGGATTTAAAAATATTTTCGAACCCTCTGGACAAGTAAAATAGGATGTAATGGATAATTTACACAACAGGTAGGACACTTAAACATCTAATACTTAGAATAAGGCTAATATTTATTTACTTGAGCTGTCAAGCCAGCTAGAGTGTTATTGTCCCTTTAAACATCCACTCAAAACTACCGGGTAACTGAGTTATTTTGGTACTATTGTATTCTAATTATTTAAATAATTCATTTTGGGACAAACATGTGGTACACTTTTATTGCAATAATTCATTTTGGGACTAACACATACACTTTTATTGCAATAATTCATTTTGGGACTAACACATACACTTTTATTACAATAATTCATTTCAGGACTAACTAAGGGTATTTGGCCACGGGTGTAAAATAGAGGACTCTCCCATGCATCTAGGGGTCTTTGGCAATAGGCATAAAATAGAGAGAGAGAAAAAAATGGGGTTTAACGTCCACTTGACACAAACTAGGTCATTTCGGGACTAACACATGGTTCATTTATTTTCTATAATTCGCTTCCACATAGGGGTCATTAGCAGTGTGAGGAAACCGAGAAAACCAATGACGTTAGACAGGCGACCCTACTCCTTGTCAAGTACAACCGGGAATTCAAAACCACGCCAGTTGACTCAATGACAGACCTTATGATACAGCACACACATGCTAACCATATGGCCATCTGGTTTCTGCAACTGCTACTGGTGGGATTGGATGGCCGAATGGTTAGCACGTGCGCGTTGTATCATAAGGCCTATCATTGAGTCAACTGGCGTGGTTTCCATTCCCTGGTTGTATGTGACAAGGAGTGGGATTGCCTGTCCAACCTCGTGGGTTTTCTCCGGGTCCTCCGGTTTCCTCTCACCGCTAAAGATCCCTACACGCATGCGAATTATTGAAAACAAAATTGAACCATATGTTAGTCCCTAAATAACATAAATTGTGTCGTTGTGATCCTATCAGGTCTTATCATATATTGAGGTCAGATGTAGATCCCTACAGGCATGCGAATTATTGAAAACAAAATTGAACCATATGTTAGTCCCTAAATAACATAAATTGTGTCGTTGTTATCCTATCAGGTCTTATCATATATTGAGGTCAGATGTAGCAATCATGTTGATCGTATCAAAACGTATCCGAACGTATCTGCAGGTGCCAGATTGTAGACTCAAAAGGGACAATCCTATCATTTCACATCGAACGATTGTAGAGAACCTTACATAATAACCCACTGTTGGCCAAGAAGCATCTTGGAATTTTTCAGCTGGTTTCCCCCTTTTTGTCAGATGGACAGGTGAGAGAGAGAGAGAGAAATGGGGTTTAACTTCCACTCGACACAAACTAGGTCATTTCGGGACTAACATACGGTTTAATTTTATTTCAATAATTCGCTTGCGCGTAGGGGTCTTTAGCAGTAGGAGGAAACCGGAGGACCCGGAGAAAATCCACGAGGTTGGACAGACGACCCTACTCCTTGCCACGTACAACCGGGGATTCGAAACCATGCCAGTTGACTCAATGACAGACTTTATGATACAGCGCGCGCACACTAACCATTCAGCCATCCAACCCCCCCTAGTTATTTGGATGGGACCACAAATTTATACATTCTGCCTATTGCAGGTCTTTCTTTAGGCTTGAAATGTGAAGAACAGTATCTAGTTATTCAGATGGGACCAAAAATATAAAAGAAGCCTCAGCAGATGAAAATTGTCCCTCATAGAACACTGCATGCCGTATACTGGTTTTCATCAGCACAGTCAGTGCAGAAAGAGTAAGGCGTTCAACTCCCATCTCATTTCTGGCTTTATTCTGCTAGTTTGAAATTGTCTTTCATTTTAAGCTACCACATATTTAGCCATCTGAACCATATACAAGGTTCTCGTTATAAGGCTCAATAGTGGATCCCCTGTGTATTTAAATCTGTGGCATACATCTGACGACCTGCCGTTTGATCACATAAAATATCGTAGTCATTTCAACAAACTCTTCCACTAGAGTTGTGTATAATCATCCAGTGAGCGTGAAAGAAATAGTTTCAACATCATTTCCTCTTAATGGGTGACATAAACGACTTGATGTAAAACCCTCTACAATCCACGTATTTACGGACTCCCTGTCAAAAGAGACGCTTCAAACTAAATCTAATTGGCGTTGATTAACTTGAGGCAGGAAATTAAAAAAGTTAAAGTGGATCTCGGATTAGTGGGGGTATTATGTGAGCTTCCGGTAACGACCGTCTCAAGAACGTTCGAACATTATTGGAATTCCTGCTGCAGACAGCCGTTTGTCCTGTTACTTGCATTCCCCTTAGTCAATACTTGATCGGACCATCGAGTATATCGGACAAGCTTTATTGACGAGGTATAAAGTCGTTGGAATTAAATTCAATTATTTATCAACGACACATACTCTTACGACAAACCAATAATTTGATTTAAGAAAGGAATGTTGGTACCAGTCAGTCATCTGCTGACAGGAGGATGATCACATGTTTTTCTGATTTATTACATCATTTGTGCAATCATTAGTTGAATTATTTGTTCCTTCTAGGGACTTAAGGTACACTAACCATGTCATTTCAAAAGACAAAGGGTTTGAGAAAGTGGTGGAGGAATTCGAAGGAGAATTCTTTGATTTCCAACTATATAATGATCTTTTGCATGCTTATCTGTTTGTCATCACACCTAAACAACTGACATAAAATGAAATGAGGTTTAAGGTCCTATTGACCTAAACAACTTCTACTTCTCTGAGAGAGAGAGAGAGAGAGAGAGAGAGAGATGGGGTTTAACGTCCACTCGACACAAACTAGGTCATTTCAGGACTAACATATGGTTTAATTTTATTTCAATAATTCGCTTGCGCGTAGGGGTCTTTAGCAGTTGGAGGAAACCGGAGGACCCGGAGAAAATCACCTGGCTGTGGGTTGACAGTCTACATATTCAATCAGAGAAAGAGAGAGGTTGCACTCAACTATAACTAGGTTATTTTGAGACTAACATATCTTATGTTTCTATAGCCATATTTGGCTTTGGTAAAATGAAATGATATGGGGTTTAACGTCCTAGTGTTCTGCTCCTATACTGGGCTAATGAAGATGGGCATACGCCGGAAAAGTGTGCTATGAGGGAAATTTTGCACGGGCAGTGGCACTATCGCCTACTCTTATATCGAAGTCCAACTGCCAGGGGATCTTTTACGTGCATTCCAATCTATACACGGGACCTCAGTTTTTTGTATCATCTGAAGGACTAGACACGCTGGATTGGCTTTGGTATGGGGTTCTTCAGAAGGTGGGAGGTACACAGAATGCATACAGAAAATTGATGGACCTGTTTTAAATCCGACTGAATTTTGCTTTCTTAAAGATACATTATGGGAGATTCGAGTTGGCAGTTCTCACTATAATAGTTAAAAACTAGATAATGTAAAGGCAATTTGCTGAAAATTTCATTCAAATTTATCCACTATGAACCGAGAACTAAGCGATTGAAATTTCCGCCTAGCCTCGATCATCATTACTAAAGTCAGTACGATAAACAGCAGTCTCGATTATCCATTTAATCGTTTAATCGAGAATGAAAGTTACGCAGTAAATCGGCTCACAATCAACTTAAGATTGCAGGCTAGCGATGCCATCTAGAGTTGATTATGGTCTGGATAAGTTAATTAATGTCTAATTAATAATTTAGATAACATTTCAGGCCTAAAGAAAGACCTGCAATAGACATATTTAGCTCTTGCATAATGTATGTTTAATTTACTGTTAAATAATCAATCTGAGTTAATTTAGCATTGAGAAATTTAATATTTTTCAAACAGTTAATCCCGACATGACCTAGTTTGTGTCAAGACGACGTTAAAAACAATTTCTTTCTTTCTCTCCGAATCTGGTTTCGACCAAGAAGACTCTTTGAATTTTTGGGCATAAAATTTGATGGAAATGAAACCCCCAAAAAATTAAAAACCTGAAACCATCCTCTAACATATGAAAATTTAAAAAACTATAAAAAAAAACCCCACCTCCTCTTTAACATGAAAAAACTCTTAAACATAAATACTAAAAAAAATTTTAAAAAAAAAACCACCCCTGTCTTTAACATGAAAAAACTCTTAAACATAAATACTAAAAAATTTACAAAAAAACCCCCCACATCCTCCTTAATATGAACAAACCCTTAAAAATAAATATTAAAAAATCTACCCCCTCCCCCCTCTCTTTAACATGAAAAACCTCTTTAACATAAATACTAAAAAAAACCTACCCACCCACCACCCCCCAACACGAAAAAAAAACTCTTAAACATAAATACTAAAAAAACTAATAAAAAAACCCAGCACCCCCGTCTTTAACATGAAATAAACATCAATATTAAAAAAACTAATAAAAAAAATCTACTTTATCTCT